TGGGTCGGGGTGGCTTGGCGGGTGGTGGTTTTCGGAGTCTGGGAGCCGCTGCACGGCTGCGCGCGCCCAGCGAAACAGCAGCGCAGCGAAGGCCTGGGATGACCCGAGCCCCATCGGCGAGAGGAGCGGGCTCGCTCCCCGCGGTGCGATCCGAAACGTCGACAGGCAAACCAAAACGTCGACGTGGAGCCTCACGAAAAGCCGACCTGCGATAGGCACCCTCACGCAGCAAGCCTCCCCTGAGATCCGGCGCTGCAAAAAACTGCACCATCGCCGAATACATCACGACCGGAGACCCGGGCCCCATCTCTCTGCGTAAGCTGTCGAGCCGCATCGATCTGCGAGGGCCGAAACCGCCCGGCGTGGAAAAAAGTTGCAGCGCCCAGGTCTGAGGGTCTGCCTGCCCGAGGGGCCGAACGTGCAGCTGAAGTTCTGGCGTTTCGTATGCCTTCCGTCCTTGCAGGGCCTCTGGGAAATGTCTCGCCGCCTCGGCTGGGTGGCTCCTCCTCCTCCTCCTCCTTGCTCCCTGCAGCATCCGTCCTACAGCAGGGCTCGACCACAAGAAACCTTCCAGAAGAAACCCAACCCTGAGACCCCAGGGCGTCCATCGATTCTTGGTGTGGGATCGTCACGCTTTACATCGCAAAACCATCGAAAGCCAAGACACATAGGGCACCCCGGAGAAAAGCAGGGTGTCGCATGGGTCTCCACTGTATGGCCGCTCCTGGCCGTGCAGCAGAAGTGTGCCGGTCTTCGCTGCGGGTGGCGCCAACGGACACCAAGCCTGCGGTGGCCTTCCGGCCGGGCGTGCGGAGCAGGCTCTCTGGGTTCTCGTCACCTCGCCCTCCTCGTCCCTCCTCCTCCTCCTCCTCCTCCTCCTCCTCCTCCTCCTCCTCCTCCTCCTCCTCCTCCTCCTCCTCCTCCTCCTCCCCCTCCTCCTCCTCCTCCACCTCCTCCACCTCCTCCTCCAACTCCTCCTCCTCCTCCTCCTCCTCCGTGGCCGCAAACCGTTTCAGGTACCGTGGACAAAAATCGGGCTCTCACGATGTGCCCTCGAGCTTGTGTACAAGCTGGCGGGGGTAGATCTTCGACCCCCGGGACTCGAGGCCTTCCAGCGACCCGGAAGCAGATCGCCCCGCCATTCTCTCACGGCCTCTGGGGAGGACTTCAAACTGCGCCGCGCGGGGCAGTGCGAGACGGACCCGGGACGAGAGAGCTGGCCCCAGGGGACCCGGCGACTCTCAGCATCGAGCCGTCGGAGGTCCGGGCCGAGACATCCGACGTCCCCGGAAGTCGGGGCCCTTCTCTCCTCGGGCCGGCTGTCCCGTCCCAAGCCGAGCGGTCGAGGTCCCGGGGCCTGGCGATGGGGCGTCGAGGCCCAAAACTGCTAAAGACCTTCCGTCGTGATGTTTCGTCACGACGCGCACATGTCCGGGGGGGCGCCTCCTCTGGGAGGTCCGTGGTGCCTTCCTCTCCGCGAGTCGGCCTCGTCCTCCTCATCCCCCTCCCTCCCCACTCCTCCTCCTGCTCCTCCTCCTCCTGCTCCTCCTCCTCATCCTCCTCCTCATCATCAGCAGCAGCAGCATCATCATCCCTCTTCTTTCCCCCTTTCTCCTTCCACCTCCTTCATAATCATTGCTCCCCATTACACCCCCCCAAGCGGCGTACTCCCGCTGACCGCGGGAGCGCGGGGGAGGGGGGACGAGGAGGAAGAGGAGGAAAGAGAGGAGGACGGCAACATCAAAGAGGAGGAGGAGGAGGAGGAGCAGGAGGAGGATGGTTTAACCATCGGTGCCGATATCTCGGGTCACCCGTGCTCTTCCCTGGTTTCGCGCACAACTTATCGTGAAACAGCGGAACACTGATTGCATAACTTCAGTATCCATAGTGTCGCTAAGCAAATACCACTGTGCACTTTTCTCGCACGCGCTGATTCCTGAGCTGCAGCTGATGACGTCTGGTTCTAATACCGTCTCCCACATCTCGTTTAACAATGACAATGCGTGCTGCCAATGCCCTCCTGTCACGCATGCATCGATTCCAGCGTTGTAGTTGATGACGTCTGGCTCTAACTTCACATCCAATATCTCTCTGAGAAGTGATATAGCTTGCTGCCAATTCCCATGCTTCACACAAGCGGTGGTCGCAGCACTGTAGCTGAAGACATCCGGTTCCAATGTCACTTCCCACATCTCGCTGAGCAACGACAGTGCCTGTTCCCACTTCGCACCTTTCTCGCACGCGCTGATCCCAGCATTGTAGCTCATGACGTCTGGCGCCAACCTTGTCTCGCATAGCTCGCTGAGTAATGACAGTGCCTTATCCCACTGCTTTCCCTTCTCGCACGCGCTAATCCCAGCACCGTAACTCACGACGCTGAGCTCCAACTTCGCACCCAGTGACCCTCTGAGCAGCGAAAGCGCATGCTGCCAATGCCCACATCTCGCGCACGCGCTGATTCCTGCACTGTAGCTGATGGCGTCTGGCTCCAACTTCAGCTTCTGCAGCTCGCTGAACAACGACAACGCATGCTCCCACAGTCCTCCTTTGTGACATGCGCTAATTCCGGCATTGTAGCTGACGATGCTGAGCTCCAATTTCGCACCCTGCAACCCTCTGAGCAACGATAGCGCTTGCTGCCACTGCACGCCTTTCTCACACGCGCTAATTCCAGCGTTGTAGCTGATCGTGTCTGGCTGCATTCTCACATACCACAGCTCACTGAGCAGCAACAGCGCCTGCTCCCACTGCGCGCCCTTCTCGCACGCGCTAATTCCAGCGTTGTAGCTGACTAGTGTGAACCCGTGGATTAAATCCACGGTGTGCTCAACCTGGGACTCGCACACCGTGGGTGAACAGCTCATCGAAGTTGAACAGCTCGGGCGTCTCTGGGGCAGTGTCGGGACCGTCTTGTGGCCATCGTGCCAGAGGGCACGAAGAGGGCCCCCAGAGGGCCCCCAGAGGGCCCCCAGAGGGCTCCACGAGGGCCCCAGGACGCCGCCGGGCGCGGGCCCACTACTCTGCCACGAGAGGCCTTTCTGTGGCAGAATGCACCTGGCCCCATCTTGGAGGGGCCCGAAGGCCCCAAGAGGGCCGCAAGAGCGCCCCCAGGAGGCCCCAAGAGGGCCCCAAACCGCATGTACATGATATGCTTCTTGGGCTTGCGAGAGGGGCACCCAGGTACATGCGTCATGGGGCCTTATCGGGGCCCTCTTGAGGCCCTCCTGGCCCCCTCTTGACTTGGGGCACCTCGGGAGCGCTCCCACCCTGTCCTGGCCCCCTCTTGGGGCCGCCATGGGCGCCTGAGGAGCCGTCCTGGCGCAGTCTTGAGCCGTCTTGGGGCCCTCCTGGCAGCCTCCTGAGGCGTCTTGGGACGATCTCGAGGGCCTGTCTGGCCGTCTTGGACGCTTCGAAGACGAAAAGCAAGGGAACTCCTGAAATGCACGTTTTCCGTAGGGATTGGGACGAATTTTCCTCGTTCTGGCTCTCCTGGGGATCTCTCTGGAGCCCAGTTGGAAGATTTGTTTGTGGTCTCTTGGGCCGTCGGGCGGCTGTCTTGGGCGTCTTCGAGCGCTCGGGGCCCGTCTCGGAGGCCCTCTTGGACGGTCTTCTGCCGTCTTCGGGCCCTCTTGGGGGCCTCCAGGGGCTCCGAGCGCCTGCCCGCAGCGGGCCGAGCCGGGACGAGCCGGGCCGAGGCGGACCGATGCCACCGGACCCTCTTTTCGCACGCGCTGATTTCGGTACTGTCGTATAGACGACACTGGGCTGAAACTTCGTCTCCCACATCCCTCTGAGCAGCGACAACGCCTGCTCCCACTGCGCGCATTTCTCGCACGCGCTGATCCCAGCATTGTAACTGATGACGTTTGGCTCAAGCCTCACCTCCAACAGCTCGCTGAGCAACCACAGCGCCTGCTCCCATTGTGCGGACTTTTCGCACGCGCTGATTCCGGCGTTGTAGCTGACGACGTTGGGCTCCAGTAGCGTTGTCCTCAACCTGCGAAGCAACGACAATGCCTGCTCCCACTGCGCGCCCTTCTCGCACGCGCTAATTCCAGCGCTGTAGCTAATAACACTGGGGTCCAACTTTGATTCAGACAAGTTGCTGAGCAACAGCAGCGCCTGCTGCCACTGACCGCCTTTTCCGCACGCGCTGATTCCAGCGCTGTAGCAGACGATGTCGGGCTTGAGCTTCGTCTCCTTTACCTCACAAAACAAGAGCAAAGCTTGTTGCCACTGCCCGCCCTTCTCGCACGCGCTGATTCCAGCACTGTAGCAAATGACGTCCGGATCCAACCTCGCCTCCAATAATCCTCGAAGCAACGAGAGCGCATGTCCCCATTGCGCTCCCTTCTCGCACGCGCTGATCCCAGCGCTGTAACTGATGATGTTGGATTCCAACCTCGCCTCCCATAAGCCTCTGAGCAGCGAAAGCGCCTGCTGCCAATGCCCACTTTTCTCACAAGCGCTGATCCCAGCACTATAGCTGATAATATCCAGCTCCAGCCTCGCCTCAAACAGCTCGCTGAATAACAACATCGCATGTTCCCAATGCCCGCCTCTGTCACACGCGCTAACTCCTGCACTGTAGCTGACGACGCTGGGCTCCAATCTCGTCTCCCGCATCTGTCGGAGCAGCACCAACGCCTGCTGCCACTGCCTACCTTTCTCACACGCGCTGATACAAGCGTTCCAGCTGATGACATCTGGCTCCAAACTCGCCTCCGCCTTCTCTCCGAGCAACGACAGTGCTCGCTGCCACTGCTTGCCCTTCCCACACGCGCTGATGGCGACGGTATAGAGTGCGGCACCGACTTCTGCACGATACTGCGACGCGTCCCGGAACAGATCCAGTGCGGCGCTCCACTGTTTCGTGCTCCCGCACTCCCTGACAAGGGCCACGAGGCGAGGGGCACCAGGTGGAGAGACTCGCCCTGAGGAGCCCCTGGAAGTTGGAACCATATCTCGGCGCGACGCATGCGGCCAGCTCGACGCTGCGTTGCTGGCGCCGGCTGCCTGAGAGCCATCGGCCTCCTCGAGCAGAACCTTGAGTCAAGACGACGGGACAGCTGGGCGAAAACGGCTTGGAACCATACTGCTTCGGACGAGGAGGACGAGAAGACAGAGGAAGGAGGAGGGTGACGGAGGGGGAGGGATGGGGGAGGAGGAGGAGGAGGAGGAGGAGGAGGAGGAGGAGGAGGAGGAGGAGGAGGAGGAGGAGGAGGAAGAGGAGGAGGAGAGGTCTTCTGCGCGACTGTGGGGTTTCATGAAGGTCCGAGGGTTCTGGCTGCCACTCCGGGATGCAGTCATCGTGCTGCCGTGGGGCATGCATGATCAGGAGCGAAGGGGCTCTTCTCTGGCCGCGGCGGGCCTCGACCACGTGCAGGCTCCAAGCACCAAACCTCGGGGAGGGCCCGGAAACCAGACCCCCTCCCAGGGCCCGAGGTGTGAGCGCTCTCCTGTTCGGCGCTTCGACACTGGGCGGAGAGGGGGGGTGGGATGGGAGGGGGGGCGGGCGCGGGGTCTGGCTCCGGACCTCTGCTCTTCGTGCGACCGTTGGCGGCAGTGCGTCCCACGGGGGAGACGCCGCCTGCCCGAAGCAGGCGCCAAAAACCGCCAGGCTCTGCTTCATGGGGGGGGGGGGGCGCAGGGCCCGCGTCGGCGTCTCGACTGCAGGCCGTGCGTGGGGCTCCCCTCCCCCGCCTCGCCGCGCCGCGGAGCGCGCTGGGGATTCCCCCGAGAGCAGACATGCCCACAGGTGCAGATCACCAGGGAGAAGGTAGGACTGGATCTCCTCCTCCTCCTCCTTCTCCTCCTCCTCCTCCTCCTCCTCCGCCTCCTCCTCCTCCCCCTTCTCCTCCTTTCCTCCTCCTCCTCCTCCTCCTCCTCCTCCTCCTCCTCCTCCTCCTCCTCCTCCTCCTCCTCCTCCTCAGTTACAGATCACCAGAGAGAAGACAGGACTGGATCGGAACCTGGAGCTCCGAGAACCGCCGGAGGCTTCTCGGGAGATGCGAGCGACCATCATCACCCTCGGACTCCGAGATTCTATGGAGAACTTCTGGAGACCTCCCCAAACATCTAATCTATGATTTTGTTTTTTGGTAACGGGGTCCCCGGAAGTCCCGACCCCTGTCCCAGAATCGGCTGTTCATCCCGAGTCGTGCCAGACGAGGGCCCCCAGGGGCTGAAAACAGCGGAAGGCGTCGTTCCTGCTTGCTTCAGTAACGTTGAAGTCTGGGGAGGCCTCCAGAGACCTCCGATAACGCCCGGACTAATTACCTCCGCGAGGACCGCGAAAGGCCCCCAGAATCCCTCCGCAGTTACCTCCCCAGAGACTTCCTCGGGCGGCTCGGCGGTCTGTGGGCGACGACGACGACGACGACGACGACGACGACGACGACGACGACGGCGACGACGGCGACGACGACGACGACGACGGAAAGAGCTCGTCCTCGTGATCCAGTCCGCCAGCGGCCCAGGCCACGTCCACGGCGTCCCGCTGCGGGGAGCGCCCGGCGGCGCCGCCCAGCGCGGCGGCCACCTGGCGAGCGGCGCGGGCGAGCGGGGGGCCACGAGGCTTCGGGCTGGAAGACATCCTCGCGACGAGAACAGGGGAACGAACAATTACATAGATGTTTTTTCCGTGCGAGCGCCCTTGATCAGGTTGCAGCGTGTGCCATCTTCAACGCGGTCTCCAATGCCAACAGATCCATCTCAAACGATGACGTCGCATTCGCCCTAAACATATAATTGTAGCCTATCATGTGTCGTTACATGTGTCCGTCTTCCAAATAATACATGATACCGGAGAAAACCCCAAGCATAATCTTGTTGGGGCTGTAAGGGCTATATGGGCTATAGGGCTTTTGGGCTATAGGGTATTAGAGCTACAGGGCTATAGGGCTATAGGGCTATAGGGCTATAGGGCTATAGGGTATAGAAATATAGGACTATAGAACTATAGGGCTATACGGCTATAGGGCTATAGGGCTATTGAGCTATAGGGCTATAGGGCGATAGAGCTATAGAGTTGTAGGGCTATAGGGCTATAGGGCTATTGGGCTATTGGGCTATAGGGCTATAGGGCTGTAGTGCTATAGTGCTATAGTGCTACAGGGCACCCCAGGCACCCGGGCACCCCTGGGCACGCCCGGGCACCCCCAGGCACGCCCGGGCACCCCCGGGCACCCGGGCACCTGGGCACCCAAGCACCCCCGGGCACCCGGGCACCCGGGCGTGCGGCGAAAATCGGCGGCAAACCTAACCTAACCATATGAATCCGCTAGGACCCCTACAGAGGCAAGCTCTGATTGGGGAATAAAAACTCGGAGGTCCGCGGGGACTTCTCGGATCCGCGCTGGACCCCCGCCTCCCGCGTCGCCCCTGGCGCGATCCGCGCGCCAGGGAGAGGGGTCCAGCGCCGATCCGAGAAATCCGCGCGGACCTCTGAGTTTTTGTTGTTATGTCATTCCTCGCTCCCCTATTTGGGCTGGAAGACATCCTCGCGACGAGAAGGCAAGCACGACGGGAGGTTTGGGGCATCTGGGGCGCTCCGGGGGCCCTGGCGAGGCCAGGGGAACGGGCCGGGACGCAAAACGACTCGGGACGCAAAAGTGGCCCCAGGGAGCGGGTCGGGACCTCATGCGGACGGGGGTTGCTTCAGCCTTCGGTTCGGGCCGAAGTCCGAAACCTCAGTTTAGTCAAGGCAGCCGAGACCCCGTGTAAGTCTGCAGTGTGCTCGGAGAGAACAGGCAGCTGCAGCAGCGCGCGCGGGACGGCGCGCGGCCTTCTGCGCACCCGCTCTTCAAGCCACACATGCTCGAAGGCGGGCCTCCTCATCGTCCATCCTCGGAGGGAGGAGGGGCGAGAGAGAGAGAGAGAGGAGCGGGAAAGGACCCAGGCGCACCGAGGGACTTCCCAAAATCCAACACCCACAGCGGAAATGTCGCTCAAACTAAACCGCGCCAGCTCCGAGGGGCAAAACGCACACACACACACACACACACACACACACACACACACACACGCACACACACACACACACACCGCCGAAAAAAAAAACTGACTGGGGGTTCTTCGGTACGAGATCATCCCAGGACCCCACCAAAGAGAGGCAAGGACGGAGGGAACCCCCAGGACCCCCAGACAAGAGGGCGGCGCGACATCCACACGGGAGTCGGGGGAGGACGCACGGAGACCCCCCTTGCCTAGAAGGCGGGGCGGCCGCGCTCGGCCCCGCCTCTCCAGGCTTGCCGAAGTGGACCTTCACGGCGCATTCACAGAAGATGTTCGGCAGGGCTGGACCGAAACGTTCTGGATCGTTTTGTGTGTTCGTGCTGCTTTTCGTTTTGCTCTACCTGTTCTCCTGCACTCCCTACCAAAGCGAAGAACAGAACACAGCCGGAATCCAGCAACACAGCGTTCAGGTCCAGCCCTGATGTTCGGCACGCGGAAGATCTGCGTCGGCACGCTCGTGATGAGCGGCTCCAGCAAGGCGGCTCGCCAAAAGTCGATGCACGTTGCCCCCCCCCCCCCCCCCCCCCCAAAAAAAAAAAAAAAACATACATGGTCCCGGGCTCCCAGGGCCCACCCCCCCCCCCCCCCCCCAGATGGTATGGTCCCAGGATTCCTCGGGCCCCCCCCCCCAGATGGTATGGTCCCAGAGACGACGACGACGACGACGACGACGACGACGACGACGCGACGACTACGACGACGGCGACGACGACGACGACGACGACCACGACGACGACGACGACGGCTGCGGCGGCGACGACGCCGGCGGCGGCGGCGACGACGACGATGACGACGATGACGACGGCGACGACGACGATGACGACGACGACGACGAGGACGACGAGGACGACGAGGACGACGACGACGACGACGACGACGACGACGACCTCTGAACCACCACAGCACCACACCACATCCACAGGGGGGGGGAGGGGGGCACCGCAGCGCAGCACCACGCCACGCCCACCTCTGAACCACCACAGCACCACACCACATCCACAGGGGGGGGGGGCACCGCAGCGCAGCACCACGCCACGCCCACAGGGGGGGGCGGGGGGGACCATCGCGCGGGGGGGGGGAGCCCAATGGCATCAGCATTGGGGGGGGGGCCCAAGCCCTGGAACATATGAAGCGGAGGGAGGACAGCAGGCGGCGCAGAGAGGCGGGAGCAAGCGGCAGGTTTCCCCAACGCAAGCGCCAGGTTACCCGGGTTCCACCAGCGCTCCTCGCCACGCCTCGCCTCGAAGGCCTATGCGCTGCTGCCTGGCCCCTCCGAGGAGCAGCGCGGCGGCCCCGCGGCGGCCCGCTCGGGGCAGCCTCCTCTTCCTCCTCCTCCTCCTCCTCCTCCTCCTCCTCCTCCTCCTCCTCCTCCTCCTCCTCCTCCTCCTCCTCCTCCTCCTACACCAGTCGCAGCCCCCGTCGCCCGACCCTCGAAGAGGGGGCTGACGAGTCTCTCACGGGCAGCCCGTGTCTGAGCAGACCGACCTCGCGGCACTGGCGCGCGCGGCGCACCCGCGCGCGGCCCGGCGCACTGCCGGGCGGACGCGCCCTTCGCCTGCGCACATCCACCAGCACGCTCGGGTTGGGCACCCCCATCTGCAACTGTCGGGCACCGTCTGGGTCTGCGCGCTGGGGAAACATAAATCGTCGGGGGTATCGCATGCCTAGAGGTTGTCACCAACACCAGTGTCGGCAATGTGCCTCCACCGAGGGAAGAAGATCCAGATCTCAGCGATGGTGGTAATATTCTGGCTTCCACGGTGACCAAAAGATTACCACCAATACCGACATCTAGGATCATTTTCCCCCCGTGGAGACAACCCCCTGTTGGTGTTGGTGCACATTTCCAGGCCTCCAAGGGTAGGGGTAGGGTTCGCATGTGGCCCCCTATCCATGCTGGGCCGACGACGGCGGGCTGTCATAGACGGACTCACTCGTGCGGCGAAGCTGGCGTGAGGGTCTGCTCCTCTGTAACTCGGCTGCAGGCTTCTAGGGTCGGCAGCCCACCGGCACATTGGCTGGGGTAGAGCCCCCGTGTGCGCTACCAGAACTTTTCCTGGCAATGCTCGCTGGTGCCGCCTTCGGAGATGGTCCAGAAGGTGAGTAGCCCATCGCGACGGGTCGCCCCATCGCAACACTGAAAGCACGATCTGACCGAGGTGGCGCTTGTCGAACTGGCGAAGCAGCGCGTGGCGCTGGCCTCCAGGAGCTTGGAGCAGCGGATGGTCGCGGCCGAAGTGCTGCATCGGTCCTCTGCCTGGCAAGCGGAGGCCGAAGCGCCGTGATCAGCGGGCGAACAGCGGTGGGCTGCCCCTGCGCGGGTGGCTCGACCTCCGCGTGAAAGAGGTTCGCGCCACATTTCCAGTGCAGCGCCTTTCTCAGGACAGTGGCGCTTCTCGTACCACCTTCCTTGCGTGCGCGTGCGATGCGTCCCTGAGCGATACGCTGCTGCATGTCGGCAGGGCGTGGCGCCAAACTCCTGGAGTCTGGGCACGCTGTGTGCTCAGGGATGCTCTGGCCTTCGGTCCTAGCATCGCTTGTGTCGACCAACTCGCACCACAGCCAATCTCTGGATCGGATGTGCAGAACGTGTTGCTGTACGTATGCGCTGCGTTTGATTCCTGCCAGGCCGGGTCGTTGTCGCAGCGCTCGGCCATAGTCAACCCCGCTATCTTGCCGTCGCTCGGACGTTCTCGACCGTTCTCGCCGAGAAAAAATGCACACGTCCGAGCGATGCCAAGCTATTTGTCTTGAGGGACCGGCGAAGCCAGGATGCACAACGGCGCCATGCAGGCATCGGGGCCGCATCGGGTCGTGAGGACATCGGAATCGAATATTATCGGGCCGGCCAGAATCGACATCGAATCGGATCGATCGAGATCGAAAGGGACCCTGAGACGTACTTTCGGTCGGGCGTGTCCTCCTTCAGGCGGATGTTAGAAGAAAAATAAAACATTGTCAGGAAAAAAATCGGAATCGTCCCCAAACTAATTTGTTTACTACTCTTTAATTTTCCTCAAATGCAGGGACATCCCCGAGTTGAACGTACTTCTACCGAACCTCTGACCTCGACCGCTCGAACCTCGAGCCCGTTACCCCCCCCTCCCCAGACCCCTGGCGCCACCATTGGTGCACAATGTCGACCCCCGGAGGTCGCGATCCATGCCCCGGCACAATCCTTCCCAGGTCCCGCGAGGCCGAAGACGGCGAAGAACCTGCCGCCGCATTCTGCTCGAGGGGCTCTGGGAGAGCGCGGGCCCCCCGAGGCCTGGAGCAAGGGCCCACGGGGACCGCACACGGCGAAGAAGACCTCCCGTCGCGTGTGTGTTTCTTTTCCTCGTGACTCGAGGGGCTCTTAGAGGAGGGATCGGCTTCAGAATTCATTTACCCCAAAAGTGACTTTTCCCCTCGATCCCGCGGAAAACACCGTGGAGCTGGCCAGACACGTCAACTTTGGGGCGCAAGTCAATTGTGCAGTCGACCCCTGCTCGAACTGTGGGAGCGCTGGCCCCCGGGGGGCGGCGCCCGCCTCGTCCACGACCTCCGCGGCCTGGAGCCCGCGCAGCAGGGGCAGGGCGCGCTGGTGGCTGTGGGCCACCACCTCGGCGGGGAGGCCCCGCCAGGCCGCCGGGACGCGCGGGGGGAGGGGGAGGAGGAGGGGGAGGAGAGAAGGAGGGGGAGGAGGAGAGGAGGAGGAGGAGGAGGAGGAGGAGAGGGGGGAGAGAGGAGGAGGAGGAGTGAGGAGGAGGAGGAGGAGGAGGAGGAGGGAGAGGGGGGAGGAGGGGGAGAGGAGAAAAGGGAGGAGGGGGAGGAGGACGAGGACGAGGAGGAGGAGGAGAGGAGGAGTGAGAAGGAAAGAGGAGGAGGGAGGAGAGGAGGAGGAGGGAGGACGGAGGAGGAGGACGAGGAGGAGGAGGAGGAGGAGGAAGAGGAGGAGGAGGAGGACGGGGAAGAGGAGGAGGAGGAGGAGGAGGAGGAGGAGGAGGAGGAGGAGGAGGAGAAGGAGGAGGAGGAGGAGGAGGGGCGCCTGCCCCGAGATCTGGGCGCGGAGGGGGGCGTTGTGCGCGTGCGTGTCGCATACGGCTCGCCCAGGCCATTGCAGCCAGCAGTTGGGGGGGGCGGCTCCCCTCCGACGCTTGCCACAGCTGCGCTTGTAGCTGATGGCGCCCTGGTGCCTAACGGTTCGCCCGCTGCCACTGCCGCCTCTTCTCGCACAGGTGCCACCCGACGTGCAACCTGCTCTGGCACGCATGAGTCCCAGGCCGTAGCTGATGATGTCTGGGCGTCCAGGCTCATGCCAAGGCCCGCTGCCACTGCCGTCTCCTCTCGCACACGATCTTCCCCGCCTGTAGCTGATGACGCCGGGTGTCCCTGCCGAGCGCCACTGCCCACTAGCGCTGCCTCTTCTCGCACACGTGTGTCTCTGGCTGTAGCTGACATCGGCTGGACGCCTTTCTTTGCAGCACTGTAAATATCGTTTTGTGCACGCTCTGGTTCATCGGGCACTTCTCGCGCGCTCGGGTTCTGGTTCGTGTGTTCGCCCTCCCGCATCACAGTGCTTTGTTGCACGTGTGTGTTTCAGCCTGTAGCTGACGACGTCCCATCTCGCACGCATGTATCCCACACTGTAGTTACTGACGCGTTGCCTCCCAGCCCCGCTGCGCTTCCTGCTGCCACTGCCTCTTCTCGCACACGCACGCCCCAGCCTGGAGCTGATGACGACTGATGTTCCAGCTTAGCGCCACTGCCCGTCAGCGCTGCCTCTAGTCGCACACGTTAACCCCCGACTGTAGCTGATGACGCGTAGCCTCCCGGCATCGCCCCAGTGCCTGCTGCCGCTGCCTCTTCGCGCACACGCGCGTCCCCAATCGTAGCTGATGGCGCACTGGCCCCAGTCCTGGCACCACTGCCCGCTGACGCGCCAGCTGCCCGCTGACTTCGCAGCCTCCTCTCGCACTCGCGCGCTCCAGCCTGTAGCCGATGACGTCTGGGTTTTCGTCCCCGCGCCGCTGCCCGCTACCACTGCCTCTTCTCGCACAAGTGTAGCTGATGCCGTTAGGTTTCTATCAGCCGTGCCTCTCGGTGATTCCGATGCCAGATCGTCTCGCGAAAGTGGGCCTATCTTACTGGCTGATGCGTTTGAACAAAGATGGTGGGATTAAACCAAGCATGTTTCTGAGCTGTGCGCCGTATCTTGGTAAATATCGCAGGAATCGCTGCACTGTGTCTGGACGTTTCTAGCTCCAACCCAGTGGCCCACTCTCGCAACTAACCCAAAATTCTTGAATCCACAATTCTTGAAAACAGCTTTTTCCATCCACATTGTCGATGTCTGAACTGTCCTGAAAAGGCTATGTCTGATCGCAGACTGTGGGCCAGAACACCTGCACTCCGACAGGTGTGTGAATGGGCGCTTGGGCACACAGCATGGATACGCATGTAGCCCCATGCCGCAACGCTTCGATGTCGACCTCAATCCGCCGCACTGCCGCCACCAGCTCCCGGAGCATCAGCAGCGGAGGCTCTCGGTCTGCGTCGTGTTCTTGGAGTTGATGTGCCTGTAGCCCTACACATTTTCGCAGACCGGCGGTGGCTACTAGTGCTTTGCGCACTGCTACGCGTTTGATTATGATATGTCTTCTCTTTGCCCGCGAAGCGGGCGCGCTCGCCGACGCCGCTCCGAGGAATGTCCCCAGAATCTCGAGGCGGGGCCGTGCACGGCGCGACCGGCGCATGCCCTTCGGAAACCCATGGCGGCGCGCCCACCCACGTCAGTTGTCGCGCGGGCGGGGCGCGCGGGGCCGGCCCGCGGACCCCCGCGCGAGGCGGCACAATTCGGACCGACGATGACCCTCCTCCTCCCCCCTCCTCCTCCTCCTCCTCCTCCTCCTCCTCCTCCTCCTCCTCCTCCTCCTCCTCCTCCTCCTCCTCATCCTCCTCCCTCTCATCCTCCTCCTCCTCACCCTCCTCTTCCTCTTCCTCCTCCTCCTCCTCCTCCTCCTCCTCCTCCACCTCCACTCCACCTCCTCCTCCTCCTCCTCCTCCTCCTCCTCCTCCTCCTCTTCCTCCTCCTCCTCCCGCTCCTCCTCCCCCCCCTCCTCCTCCTCCTCCTCTTATTCCTCCTCCTCCTCCTCCTCCTCCTCCTCCTCCTCCTCCTCCTCCTCCTATTATTCTTATTATTCTTATTATTATTATTCAAATTATTATTATGTTTCTGTTTATTGTAATTATTCTTATTCTTATTATTATTATCATTATTATTAGTTCATTATTAGTATTATTAGTAGTATGATTATTTATATTAGTAGTATTATGAGTATCATTCGTATTATTATTATTTCTATTATTATTATCGGTATTAATATTAGTATTAGTATTAGTATTAGTATTAGTATTAGTATTAGTATTAGTATTAGTATTAGTATTAGTATTAGTATTAGTATTAGTATTATTATTCTTATTAGTATTATTATTGTTAGTATTATCAGTATCATTATTATTCTAATTTTTGATATGAATAATAATATTCGTATTGTTCTTCTTCTAATTCATAATAGTATTATTCTTCTTAGTAGTCTTATTATTAGTAGTATTACTAGTCTTATTAGTCTTCGTCTTCTTCTTAGTAGTATTCTCATTATTCTTCTTAATAGTAGTAATATTCTTCTTCTTATTAATACTATTCGTATTCTTATTATTCTTAGTCGTCATACTCTTCTTCTTATGAGTATTATTCGTCTTATTCTGATTATTAGTAGTATTCTTATTCGTAATATTCTTGTGTTGCTAGTATTATTAGTATTCGTATTATTATGGTTCGTCGTATTATTCGCATTCGGATTATTATTATTCGTGTTATTCTTATTCTTAGTATTCTTCTTATTCTTGTTATTATCATCCTTATTATTATTATTATTATTCGTATTTGTCTTATTCGTCCTCCTCCTCCTCCTCTTCCTCCTCCTCCTCCTCCTCCTCCGCCTC